TGAATGATAGCCTTTATTGGTTAGCAAGTAACTCGAAGGTAACAAAAAAAAGAGGCGAAACTTACCAGTAACACAACGGTCAAGCTGGATTGCATCTCTTCGAGAGCAATACGGTCTTCAACGCTGACGACCTGCTGTTGCAAAGCAATAGTCTGCTCTAGGCGTTGGAGGATAACGTCCGAGAGCGTTGCGACTATTGGAAGACTGTCGTTGGCAGCGTTGGTAACCCACGCGTTCAACACCTCATACGCAGCGGTTCGAAGCTGGCTATCTGTGTCGTGTCTGTGGATCAAGTTAGCAGTGAGTTAACTTTCTGAATGGGGGAAAAGGGCCGTCATGGTTTAAGTTACCTCTCAGTAAGAGCCAGCAGCGACTTGACGCTGTCTTGGAAGTGTTTCGACAACGGATTCGTCTGGTTCTGGTCCTGGGACGAGAATTGCTCCGCAATGCTGATGAGAGACCAGCAGCACGAACCAGCAATCTTGGGGGTGCTGGCAAGGCCGTTGAAAAGGGCCGAGATCAGAGGCGGCAGGTGCACGTTTGTGTCCAGGGCAGAGGGACACAATTCACAAATCCGGCCCAAGGCGAAGGCTGTGGAGTCCCGAACAATGACCGAGCTGTCTTCCATCATTCCGATCAGGACCGGGAGAGCCTGCTTGACAAGGGGTTCAAGCACTTCGACCTCAGGTCCATCCATGATGGCACCAAACGCAGCCACAGCAGCATCCCGACGATGCCAGTCTTCGCTCCGGATATTCTCCTCAACAAAGGTAAGGACCGGCTGGATAATGTCGCCCTGGACACATTGGGAGTAGAGCTGCAGACACTGGTAAGCAGCACGCGAGACGTTGTATTCATCCTCGCTAGCGTCTTCATCTTGCTTCGTCATGAGCTGCAGCAGCACCGGGACCACCTCGCGACAGGCAATGCGGGCAAAGTTGAAGAATGGCGTAAGCAGGGAGGAGTCGGCAGCCTGCGCCTGAGCATTATCGTCCTCGATAGTGATCTCTTCCTCGCAGACCGTACACCAGAATTCGATGGCAAGCTTGGCTACGTCCTCCTCCTCGTTCTTCATGCCCATGATGGTGAGGCCGAACAGGGCCTTCTCCATGTAGAAGCGCATCTTGTCATAGTAGGCCGCCATGATCCGGTTCAGGCAGCCGAATGCGCCGGCCTGGATCCGCGTATCCTCAGCCTGGGTGGCTTCGCAGACCACCTGCATGATGTAATTCCGCTCGCCCTCGTTACCCATATTAGATCCAATGAAGTCGGTCGCATCAGCAAGAGCCTGGAGAGCAGAATTGCGGACATCATTGTTGGGCTCATCACGCCTGGCACCCTGGACCACAGCCGTCAGGATGGCATTCGAGTGGGCGGCCAGGGCGGGGCGCAGATCGGGGTCCTTGGACTCGCAGATGAAACCGAGGGTGGCCAAAGAGGCCATTTTCAGGTGATCCGAACCGCTGCCAACATTCTGGACCAGAACGCTCATCAACTCGGGCCACTCATTACGAGGGATCTCGATGGTGGCGATGGCAGTAATGAATTGGGCGGCAGACTGGCCGGCCCGTCCGTCCTTGGATGCTAACGTCTTCAGCGCAAGTTCTTTGACCTGGTTCTTTACCGGCTGAGGAACCTGCTGGATCCATCTCGCTTGCACCTCTCGCAACCGCACGGTATCCCGGTATGTGAGGGAGTTTTTCAGTGCGAGACCGGCGGCCGTTCGCACATGCGGGGGAGAAGCCTCGTTCGCAAGCTCCTGGGCAAGAGTGGTGAGGTAGGCAGGCTAGACAGAGGCACAAGGCACCGGATGTTAGCAAGGCACACATTATCATTCGCGTAAAATAGCGAAACAGTGGGGAGAGACACGGGGGGCATGGAGGAAGAAAAGAGCGAACGTACAAAATCGATCTCAGCCGCGTGGAGCAGCTGCTGTTCGGCATTCTGACGAATAGTCGCATCTGCAGGACGAAAACAAAATCCAGTCAGTCACGGACGACGTTCCTACGAAGGGCTGGATTGGGGGGTGGGTGGACGGTGCGTACCTGGCGACAGGGTGCCCTCCAACACCTGTCTGACGTCCATGTTGCCTATGCCAAACCGCACCCAGAAAGACGAGGAGGAAGGGTCGAAGTAGGATTAGTCAAGTCGCGAAGATCTCCGACGCGCTTTTTTTTCTCTCTCCACGATGAAGGAATGTGGTGGTTGGACTGGCGAGGCACACGCAACCAGTCCAGAGGGGAGTGATGGGAAAAAAAAGACGGTGTTTGTGGATATGACGAGGCGTGCACCAAGTCCGTTCCGGGAAAGCGACAAGCAGGCTGGTGGTGCAGACCCGGCCGGGGAGAAAGGGAGCGAGAGAAAAAAAGAAAGAAAAAAAAAAGTCTCGGGCGAAGAGCGAGACGAAGGAGGTCAGGGATCGCGAAGTCGAACGCGAAAAGAACCAAGGGAAGGGTCTCTCAGAGGGTCGTTGGAGAATTTGCAGGGCCAAGGGGGCGCTTTGAGTGGTCGTTGCGAGGTGCAAGGAAGAGGTGGTCTGTGGTTTGGCGGGAGGTGCTGCTGCTGCTGGTCTTTGCGGCCGGCGTCACAGCCTGCTCGATCGCGGCTGCGGACGCTCGTTGGCTGCGCCGCCCACCGCAGGAACCGCCGGGGCACGTGAGCTGACGAAACAACCCGGCTGAACTCCAGAAAGAAAAGCCTGCTGCGTGCTGGATCGCCTCGAGAAGCACACACGATGCTCTTACGCCCTACAGAAGAACGACATGCTCTGTCTGGCAGTCGATGAAGGTGCGAGGGCTGCGCCCGTCTCCGGCAACCCCGCTGTTGACGCTCTTTGTTTTGGTTTTGCTGCATCGAGAGATGACCCGCTATGGTTGCCCCTCAGCCCCCCTATCAACACGGTTGTGTGCTGTGGCCGGGGCGACCGGTGGCCCCAAGCCCTACATGTACTGTACACACAGTTCTGGTTGCTCATTCACCGGATACCGTTCAAATCAGGCAGAACAGAAGAAGTCACCGGAATCAGTAATTCTACACCTTTGCAGAGGGTGTCTCCTTCACTCTTACCAGCGCTGTAGCCGGCTGGACCGACTGTGCAAGCAGTCAAATCGAGTAGATCCTTGCCTACTGTGATCAATCATATTAATATCCATCCCACACAGATCAGCTGGGAGCAATCGATGGCAAGCGCACGCGGAATGTTGCACAAGAATGCATAATCATGCAGACGCAATACGAATAACTATCCTCCCAGTTGCTAAGCACTACCTGAACGCCTCTACAGTGGCAGCTCAACGTGAATATAGAATCTAATGTAATCTAATTTTTTTTGTATCCCCCCCCCCAGAAGACTCCTGAAACACCCAAATTATCGAGATGGCCTCCACGATCATTCAGACATAAGCCGGTCCTCCTCCGTCCGGTTTTCTTCTCCGTCTTCTTGGGTCTCCTCTTCTTCGCCTTGAACCTGGGTATCCATATCTAAAACCTCATAGTGCAGACCATCTGCGAACAGCACGCAAATGGCCCTTCTCCCTTTTCGTCCGTTGACATCGATTCGCACCGGTTTTGCTTTCGGACCGGACGATGGGAAGGAATGCATGACGAGCTCGGCGTGAGCGGATTCGAGATCAAGCACGACGGCACTCGATTCGGGAGAGGAAGGATTGGAAGGATTAAAAGCGGCATATGTAGGGTAAAATGTGGTGGGACTGTCGGCCTCCATGGTGGAATCCTGGGGCGACGACGGAGTAAACGGAAAGTTGATAAGGGACGAATGGCCTGCGGATGCTGGAGTTAGAAACAAGTCAAGGCAGCTTGCACATGGATGTCCATGGCAAAGCTTCGAGAGAGAATCAGATGAAAGAAAATCAGTTAAGACCCACCCTCGTCAACGTAGAGAAGCATAATCGTATTGTCCTGGACGAACTGGATCTGCCGTATCTCGCCCTTCTGCAGGCTAATAGTGGCGATCGAGAGTGCCTTAGTTGAGCTGACACCCCTGACAGAGTCGAGCGTAAGACGGTAAATGTAGACTACGCAAAAAGAAGAATGGTCAGCATGTCACCTAGGATGTGGAGCGCTCTGGATGCCATACAGTTATATGGAGATTTCCTCGATTTCGCCGCAACGTAGATGGAACACAACTCGTTACCATCGGCATTCTATAGAAAAAAGAATACCCATTAGCAGGAGCGAAAATCATTCCATCAAGCTGTCTCACCTCATAGCACATGGTCATATCAAGAGCGTTCTTGTCACAGTCCGAATGAAGAACAAGAGGGCATCGATGAAGAATCCCTCTGCGTTGTGTGAGCGCAATCTGTCCAAATACCTTGTCACACTGCAGCCCTAGACGTCCAGTAAGATCGTTCAGTTTCGGGAGATCCAATTGAAAGCCATCACCGTGTCCGGCCTCTCGTTGTTCCAGCTGTGCCAGCAATGTTCTGTACGTTTCATAGAACGAGCCGTCATTTGCCCCTGGCGCCCACTTGCTAGACACCGTTGACGGAAGCTTGGCAGTTATCATTGCTGGCATACCGGGGGGCACATGGATAAAATTGCGGAGGGCGCTTCTTGTGAGCGCCCCCTGGATATAATCAAGAGTCCCACCATGATCGATCATGTCACTTTTTTCCATCAGCTCTTCCAGAGTCTGGGACATCGGTTCGGCGGATTGCATGTCGATCTCATGGCGGAGCCATTTAGAAAAGGCGAGAAACTCGCGCAATTCTCGGCTGCTGTGTGTCAGGATGTTATGGGACAGCAGATGCAGACAATCAACCGTGTCGACAATCTCCTGAAGATCCCGCGTCTCGAGGCCCAAGATATGGCTGAGCTTGTGGAATTTTGAGATGCCAATAAGCCGACTCAGAAGGACTTCGCATCTTTCCAGCGCTGGGAGTAGACACTCGTGTGTCAACCTGCGAACATTCTCATAGCCCGTCGAGACTGTTTTCTCCCAGCGTTTGTGGCCCTGCCCAGGTCATCAGTAATGGACCAAAGAAGGAAGAAAAACCCATTGATACGTACTCTTTCGCCAAGAATATCAACAAGAAATTCCTTCAGTGGTGGGAAACAGTTCCCCGTCACTACCAGATGATACAGCGCAGTGACAAAATCACAATGGCATTTCTCCTGCAAATCATCACTGATACTCCGAATGTACCTGGCGGACAGATCCAGCACATTCTTCCATTCCAGCTGGATCTGTCGTTGCACCTGGTTGATGTATCGGAGCAAATTCTGCAGTTGGGTCGTTTTGGAAGCGAGAAGAGACAGGTACCGTCCCGACTTGGTAATGAATTGGAGATCAATCGTCAACAACTTCAGTTTTTGTTCTGATCCCTCCGCTGCTGTTTCGGATAGAAGCAATGCATGGGTCGAACTCATGGGATGTGAGGCATGCAGCAAGATTTCAGCCGAGCTTGGTCTTCCAGCCGCACTTGAGACAGAGACACAGCCGATTTCGAAGCAGTCGAATATCCGTAGGTGGACCATCCCATCGTTGAATCCGACGAGAAGGACGTCCACGGAGTCACTCGAGTTCTTGTTTGGGGAGTGGAAGATAGCATCGATCGATGCTCGAGAGCTGAACACATCATCACTGGAAAGGAGGTTAGCTGAAGTCGTGCTTAATAAACTAGGAGCATCAAACGAAAGCTGAGAACTACTTACTCGCTTCCCGTCCCAGGCAGAGTACTCAATTTGGGCAAGGAGCTCTCAATATCCAAGAGAGCCAACTCGCGGGGCAAATCCGCCTTCAGCAGCACCGCAGCCTTGGCTGGATGCGTATCGGGGGCTAAGAGATCTTCAGCGGAAAGCCGTCCCCCTGCTTCCTGCAGGTGCCGCTGGGCGGCCTTGCTGTCGGTGAAGTTTATCCCCCATCCCAAGCAAGTGACCTTTGCGTCTTGCTTTGAGCTGCTCTCTTCCTCCTGCTGACGGGAGGAGTAATGATGAACCGTCTTGCCACTGTAGGAGCTGATGATGCGGATCTTGTTATCCGCATCCGCGACAGCCAGGAGGTGACCTAGTACATGATATCAGAATCACTCGCGATGTTACCGCAGGAAGTGCACAGACTGTCTCCGTCGGGGGGGAAAGACAATAGATACAAAAAAAAAAAAACAATACCAAGAGAACCTTTCAAGAAAGGAAGACTTCTTCAAGAAAGAAACACAATCATTCAATAAACAGAAATTAGACCTACCATCATTTTTCCAACTGATTCCCCTCACCTCTCCCCTCTCGTCGTCATCAAGATAAGGATCTCCACCGAAATTCGCGCCCAAGACCTGCTGTCCATTCAGCCGAAAGACGCGCAACTGCTCATCCTCAGTGGCCAGCGCGACAAGGTCCATCGTCGGACAATACGCCAGCAGGCCCGGTTTGCATTTCGCCGGCAGCGTCTTCTCCGCGACCGCGGTCAGCTGCGGCGGTGCCACAGAGGAGGAGGCCTGGTCGTCTTCTGCCATGGTGGCATGTAGTTAGCATGCCTTTCTCTCCTTTCTACTCCATTTCTTTGGGAAATAATTTTGGATTGTGTTCTGTTGATTATGTTCGTTTTGATGTGGTTTACTACTAAGTAGAAGTTGTGAAGGGCACACGTGAAGCGATCTCTTTGCTTCTTGGCGCGCGGGCTATTTGGCCGCAGCGCGAAACCGTCAAATCAGTCCCAAGGTTAAGGCTGTCTGCAAGCCAGGTTCGTCACACGACTTCTCGCAACAAAAAAAATCGACAATTCTTATTAATTCGACTTGTTCATTCTCATGTGCGAAAATATCTATTCTATTGTACATGTACATACATGCAGCAACAAGATAACATCCGTACCTCTAGATATCCGGTAACAATAGATGTGCATACATTCCAGTTCACAAAGGCCAAATCCCAGAAAGCCAGATAATCGCGCAAAGAACTCCTGTTAATGCTCCAATATATACATTACATGCCTACCTGGATCACGTCGCCCAAGTAACCCAGCTCATCCACTAGCTCCTTCATCGTTGACTGAGAAAGGACACTACTGCGGCGTTTAGACCCGGTACCCTTCTCGTCAAGTGCGTTCGGTGTATCTAAGAGACCGTTGATCTGACGGGAGTTAGCCTCGCCCGGCGCAGACCTGTCGCTCGGGGACATAGGCAAGGGAGTTAAAGTTTCCAAACTGGAAAACACTCCAGCGTGACGTTTCGGGTTCGTCTCGACGACCTCGTCAAAATCTTCGATGCAAAGTGTAGAAATGCCGAAATCATTATCGGGGAACTGGATAGTGATGGGGGTGGCAGTCGGCGGCGGTAGGATGGGGGAATGGGAAACAGATGGTGAAGGAATTTGAGGGGCGGTACTCAGGGTAGGCGTTGTAGGTCCACCGGATGAGGCTGGGAAACCGCACTTTGACTCAGTAGGCAGTGCTACCGCATCGCTCGTCCGGTCGTTGTTGTTGAAGGAAGAAGAGGATGTCATGGAGACCGGGGAGACCAGCTCAGTATCCGTACTCCATTCTGAAAATCGGCTTTTCTCCAGCGGCGAATCGGCGTACGCCTCAGACCCAGCTGTGGAAGTATAATCGGAGAAGTGGCTATTTAAGACCTCCATATCCAATGCCTGATTCTGTGCATCCAACGCACGCAGCTCCTCGTCCATGATAGAAGAAGGAGAATTTGGTAATGTTGGAAGCCTCTTCTCCGTAGCGCCAACAGGAGTTGGAGTGGTCATATCAGGCACAGGGGAGTGCGGCTTGCGCACTACAATCATGGGGGTAGTTTGTTGGGAGGCAGCCTCCTTGAGTGTCTCGAGATGCCTTGAGGAGCCAGATACACCGCTAAAGTTGCTCTCTCCAGAGGAGCTATCTAGCGTTAGATAGCTTCTAAATGGTGAACCGTCTCTGTTGCTGGATTTTGAAGCACGATCACTCTGGATAGACAGCGTCGTATGATTCTCTTCTTTGTCAAACACCGGTCGTCGAAAAGGAAGCTCTCCAGGCCCTAGGCCATCGTTCGGGCTATCTGCTGGCGATGCCACCCTCGAACCGTAGTTTGAACTGGGATTAGACGCCGGAACACGGAGCCAGAAGTCATCTTGGTAACCGTCTGGCAGTGCTGTATCCATCCGATTCTGACGTCTAACGGATCGGCCACGTTGGTGCTCGTCAGAGTCAGCGCCCGGTGAGCGAGCGCCGGTCAGATTCATAAATGCGGCGCGCAAGCCCCTCGATCTCGGAGGAGAAACCGATCGAGCTATCTTGAATTTGGTTGCGAGGCGGAATCTTGGACTGGATGCCGAGCCCGCAGGTTGAGAGACGCTTCTGTTTTCATTACTGCTCATTGACAAGTTGATAAAGGATGACCACGAGGAATCGGGCTGTTGCTGCAGAGGAGGGGAAGTTTTCAAACGCGGAAGCTTTGGCCGTGGTGGTGTCCTGGGATTCATGTACTTGTCTTTGGGATCCATGGTCCGACGCTCCGACGTCTGGGAGCTGACGCTGGCATCGCGTTTGCGGATGCTATTCGTATCCGGCAAGATAATGGGGACATGAAGAACATTGACAGGTTGACCAGGCAAAAGAGGACAGTGTGTAGTAACGGGTTCCGCATCATTATAATATTCGATATCCCCGTCCAGTCGATACTGTGTATAGTCAAGCCACCGTCAGCGTCGACTTGTTTTGCATATAGACAGGGAGTCAGGGAGACCACGAACATAATACCAATAAGTTCCACCCATCTTCAGACCACCGCTTCGTCCAGGAGACCGGCTCTGGGCATTTCCATCGCAGATAATATCCGTAAACGTATGACATCCCCGCCAGTGGCCGGCACCGATACGTCGGTCGGGTTCCATAGGATAAGGGCGATTAAAATTATCCCATGATCCTAGGAGTTCGACAGTTCTGACGTTTGGGGGAGTGCGACTGTGTGCGCTATGTCAGTAGAGAATTATATGCCTCAAGTTCATCCTGTCCTTACAGAAGAAAAGTCATCAACGTTGTAGACGTCATGTTTTTTGCAACGCCACAGGAAGAATGAAAAGCACGCTGTAAAACGAGACGAAAACAAGCAAAAGAAACAATGCGAAACAAAACAAGGGATCGAAGATTCTATACAAGTATGTACAAAACGATGAAAAAGAAGAGAGAGTGTGTGTGAAAAGCTCTGCCTGAAGGCAGAACGAACGATTAATCGCACAGCTCGAGAAGTCGAGAAAAGGCAGTTATTATAGTCGCCAAACTCGTAAACACGCGATGAGGACCTAGGACGGGCTGTTCCAGATCCCAACTGTTGTGTTTCTATTCTCGTCAGAAACGTTGAGTATGGCCAGTTGTCAAGCCGGGGTGAACCACAGAGACGCCATAACGCATATGAAACAGGGGAACTGCAGCAAGGCCGTTGATTCAGTAGCCGCGGCAGATCAGCTTCAATTTGGAGGTTCCTGAGCTCTGCGATTGTCAAAACAAATGGCGCGGGCCAATGATACTGGCTCTTGTCGACGTCGAAGCGCCGAGGGAACGGATCCGAGGAGTGATGTCGGCGCTTAGAGGGAGCTCCAACTCAGGAGACTGCCACACTCGGCCACGTTGTAGTGTCTCGAAAATAGCAATCACAATAGCCAGTGCAAGTCGATGCGATTGTGTGGCACTTCTTCCACGAAGGTCACGAAGGTCAATTGTGTGCTGGAATCATGAAGCGACAGTCGACCAGGGAAGAAATATCGCAGGACTCCGGGAGTGACGTCGTCCCTTTGGCACGGTGCAGGAGGGCCGAGAAATAAAGGCTGGAGCCATGAACAAACAAGGTGCGAACATTCTTGCCCAAACACGGTGCAGCAGGGAGCGGGACTCGTAAGTTAATTTCGGCGGAAATTGAACGCGAGGGTGGAACTGGATGAGATGATCGGATCGAGCCGTGGAAGACTATGATTGCCGGACGCAGCACGGGAGAGGGCCCACAACTCACAGGGACGGAAAGAGCACGCAGGGAGATCTGGGGCTTTGGGCCGATCGGGAAGGCGTCAGTCAGCCTGCTGAGGCGAATAAAATCACGGAGAGGAAGCTGCGACTCGCCAGCCACTCGGCGCACGCAAGGCTGTTGCTTCCGGCAGGCGTGGCTGCCGGGGGTGGCCATTGCCCGTGCCGCATGCAGGCCAATCGTTTCCTGGGCACTCGCTCGCTCCAGGCGTGGAATAATCATAGCATTGCATCGATTGCATACTATTGCACACGACTCCATTTTCTGGAAAGGCGAACTCCACTGCTGAAACAATCTTCAATCTCTGGATTTCCGCGGAGAGCGCTCATTGGCGCGTTTCGACGACTGCTTCCGTCATAGGCAGAGGAACGAGAAAGCAACACCGCGGGGATCTCGCGATCGTCAGGGCCACGAGCGGCTCCGGAGGATTATTGCCCAGTGTCCGGCTCCTGCGATTGGGGCCTGAGCAACACGGCGTTTGGAGCTGCAGGGTCGTCGCATGGCGCGTCATAATAGTGTCGCATCGGCTGGTCGAATCAGCGTGTTGCTGGCCCGGAGAACTGGAGCAGCTACTGCTTAGCGGCGCGACCACTGCAAGGCACCGCAAGCTGGGACTTCCACGACCACCAGCGACGGCAGTCAGAGCGCGGCGGCTGATCTGACAAGAGACGCAGGCTGTCTCAAGCCTGCAGGTCTCAGACAGCATTCTAGTTAAAGTATCAGGTCCAGCCTCCTGCAGAGAGACGCAACTGTTGAATGGATTATGGGACTGTGTTGATTTTCCCCCCTAGATGGTCCCGTCCCAGCCTTAACTGGATCCGATTCCATGGATTTGATTGATTACCGTCTGTTGGGGTCGGCGGTTAATTAGAGCAGCTTAGCTACTCCGTAGATTGCACGGATTAGGGAATTGATCGGAATTGCCTCTCCGGACTTCGTTCTCCCCTCCGCAAGATCCACATCATCAATAATAATAATCCTGGAACTTTTCGCAGCTTGTCAGTTGTCAAGTGTAATATTACTACTCAGCACTCAGAATTGAATAAATTCTTTAAGCAAAGAGATTAATGTGCATTCTCAGGATGTTCTGTCTCCAAGAGAAAGGACCGTTTTGTTGTGTGTAAGTACGGAGTGCCTCCCTAAGTGGTTATATATATATGGAGATTATGGACTCTTAGAAATGAAATAGTTATGCTCCCATCAACCGAATCTAGTTTGTCTGGAGAGTCAATAGTCGATCGTGACAACATCACAACATCGAACACAGTGACAAGGTAAAATATATCTTTATTCCTCACCACAGCAAACAAATAGTACTCAAAGTACACAAAAAAAAAAGGTGGGGGGGGGAAGGCAACTGTATTCTGCTACTTCTGTGGCGACCTAGCTTGGCCACAGTTGGGGTACTATTATCAACAAAAGGAAACGATTTTGGAAAGAAGTGAAAATGGCAATCTTATTATAGGCATCTAATTTAATCTAAAGATGTCTAGTGAAGCAATGCAGAACTCACGCAGAGTATAAAATTCATGACATTCATGACATGCCCAGAAACCCCCCAAGTCCGCCCTCATAGACACCCACCATAATACCACAAGTGTAGCCACTGAGAGAAGGGAGTGAAAAAAGGAAAATGCTATATCCGAGCATCTCACCGCGATCGCATCATTCAAACGCCCTCCGTCGATCGAGCTTTTTATTGACCGCACCAAGGACGACCTTCAGGATTCCATCTCCGCTCAGCGTCTGGCCACTCTCCCCTCTCCAGGGAACGGTGTCGACAATATCCCGGATGTGCTCATTCCGCACCTTGTTCGACAACTCATCATCCAGCTCCTCGAGGTGTCTGCGCGCTTCCAAATCGTCGCCGACTTGGAAGAATTGGATCCCCACCTGCCAAGGCAGCGCTTTGCACTTGTCGCTGTCAAGTCGCCTGGCCACCCGCACAATGACACTCTCCGCGTCATCAGTGAACGCTCCGTCGGTGATGGCGATGATGTTGAGAGGACGGACGTGGAGAGCAGGATTCCGAAGTCCACCGTCCTCGTCCGTGGCAGCTGCCATCGCTTCGACACGTCGCAGGTATGGATTCAAAATCTGATGGAGACGATTTCCAAAGGGCGTTGCGCCAGCCGGCTGGACCCGTTTGAAGATTTCTTGCACTGCTCCTGCCGTGGTAACGTTGGCGTAGCCCCCGTTGACGGCGTTGATGCCCGTGTTGCGGTGGTTCAAGAAGTAGATATCGATCCCGTCGGGGTCATGCTGAGTGCAGATGGGTGTAATGGCAGCGATCGCCTCCTCGGCTTCTTTCCAACGCTGTCCTCGCATACTCAAGCTGTCATCGACCACGAAAACCGTGTCGAATTCTCTGAGAAATGCGTATGCCGAATCACCACTGTTGCGCGCTGGAGTAGCCACCGTGCTCTCCTTCGGAGCGGATGGGGTGTATGGCGGTGGGCTCCATATGCTGTTCCTGTCGTCACGCTGGTAATGTGGCATATTCGAGCGGCCTCCAGAGGGGCTATGGTACGGGTTGAAGGGGTTGTACATGTTCTTTTCGTCTTGCTTGATCGAGTGACAGGGACCCATGGAGTAGTCTCGTCTTGAGGATCGCGAGGAAGTAGATCGTGAGCTGGCGAGGAATTTTTGTGTCAAAGAATCATCTTTAAGGTCAGCAAGTGCTGAACTCCGAGACTTGCTGAAGAGGAAAGGCATGGTGACTCTGATTTTCTGGTGACTCTTCCGTTTGTGACACAACTGTTTGCTGGTCACCTACCTAGGTAGGAAGGAAGTACCGGGAACAAAGAAACACAGTGAAAGGTCCAAAATCTACCTAGTAGATCTCTGCTCTGATGATTCTTTCACTGGAATGGGATTTTCTGCAGTTTATATATAATATAAGAGGATTGCAAGGCAGTGTTATGTTGTGTCTTGATTTCCTGTCAAGTCTTCCATGAAGTATCCAGACTCTGCAAGGCAGACCGCAACATAAGAGCCAAAATCATGATCATCGTTTTGATACTGATTTTGCAAGTATACTGTTGATCCTAGTGCTTGACCAGCTCAACCTAGAGAGGCTGTGCATTACCCGAGTGGGTGAGCCATGGCATAGCCTCATGTATGTACTCCGCGAACTATTGCCCTGTCCGACTTCAGCCTCAACCGCCTTGTCCCACTGCTCTGGGTCAACACCCCACAATTTTTATTATTATTCACTCAGCCATGGCCTCGACCGGTATAGTGAACAAGGCTCATATCACTTTAAGTTTTGATCAAATATCGTGTACTCCATTTAGAGGTACTTTCCATCTGCGAGTAAAGTTGCCCCACGTGTCCCGCACTCACTGAGCCTCGTATGCATGCACAACGCCAAAATTGAATTCTGTTATTCACATAAAATCTGCCTAAGGCTCTAGAACCATGGGCTGGGTAACGCAACGTCTCACAGATCAATTAGGATGCGCCGTGATACAGCCAGATGCATGCCATCAGCCATTATGCGGTCCTCCCCAGGAATTCAAAAAGACAGCCTTGCTCATAACCCAGAAACCAAAACGCCGCACACAGAGCTACGAAAACTAAATCAATCAATTTCAAGAATACACGACAGTGTGTGTCATCCCGTCAGGCGCCTCCATGCTAAGGGGTATCCTGCCCTGAAGCACCTCTTCATAGTCCATCCTGTCGACCCAGTCCACCGTACTTCGTTCCATCGGCAGCATGGTGATGAGAGTTGATGCTGCATCGATCCCCATTGCCCGCGCGATGATGGTGAGGCAATCAATGACCCAGGAACAGGTGGGACTTAAGTACCCATCAACGCACGCTGCTGCATAGAGCGGATAAAGCATAACAAACCCGCAGGCGATGCCTCTAGCTCTCGATGGAGTTTGCACTTCTCCTTTCTCGCGATCGACGGTTCCAAATTGATATGGCACCGTGGAGCAGATATCAGCGGCTAACTGTCGCATCAAGTCACGGATACCGCGGCATTGATCCCTAAAATCACGGGAGTTTGAGACTGACCCATCCTGAGAAGCTAGCTTATGTAGCTCAGCAAGGATAAGCCTGTTCACAAGAATCCGAGAATAACGGTAATTATTCCAAATGACGCATACCAAGGGGTGCTCGTAGATGTGAAAGCACCCATTGTACGGATAAAGATGATAGTGCTCGTTGATACGGAATGGCCTGCCATCAAGCCGGGTGCAGACGGTGTACGAGAAGCTTGGAGGCATGTTGCTAGCAAATTCCGCGAGCTCTGAGTCTATCGAAAAGGCGATCGATAGTATGTCCGCGCTATCCACGATGACCCCATTGCTTATATCGACCCGGAGATTGCATAACTTGGCAACAGCCTTTGTTAGCTGGTCCGCGTAAACCGCGAAAGGGTCCATCTGCCCAGCAGCAACTTGGTTGGACAAATCAATCAGCGAAGGCGGAATTTTTGTTCTTCGCTGCAGACAACCGGCAAGCTGCAGAGACATCAGCCTGGATCCTTAACTAATTAAAGGAGACATAAGAGCCTACAATCTCGTTCCTCAGAGCATGGAACATTTGAAGTCCACATTCGCGACGAAGATGTTCTTCCCCACGGAATTCCAGAAGCGCTAGAGCGCCGCGGGCGTGCTCTACCCAGGAGCCCATGGATTCCCGCTTTTGACAGGTGATAAGCTTATGAACCCATCAGCCTTAATTCCTATGGGCAGGAGTCCAGACTGTCACTTACTTCAAACAATGACATGCAGATAATTGCGGTGAGCGTCGTATCCTCTTTAGCCTGGACCGGATCGCAAAGAGCAGCGTTGATCAATTTCAAAGCGGTGGCATACTCGCTCCTTGCAGACAGCCGCAATGACTTTGAATTCTGAAGACTTGCAAGGTTGGCCATGCCCACCGATATTATACTAGCCATCAAAGCTCTCTCGCCAAGCGGAGCCGTAGGCACCAGGGCACGATCAGGGTCGTTTTTGGCCAAGCAAGAAATATTCAGCCAAGCGTAGTTATTGAAAAAGAAGCACGTGGCTTCAAATCTAGGATCCATCGCAAACGGGAACGCTGGCAGGGAGTATTCCACTGGCTGCTGGAGGTTTGACGCCTCATCTGGTCTGCCAGCTGTCTTGGCCACTGTCATCGTCCCCGACTTCCCCGCATGGGATGCTGAGCGACGTGTGTCTGGGGCATTGGGGCCAGACCTGGTCGCCTTCGCCTTCTGAGCAACAGATTGGCTTTCATCTCGAAACAAGAGTGAAAGCTGATCTCGGTACCCGGGACAGGTTCGATTGGCCTTTCTGCACCGGGAACAAGCAGGTCTAGCTTGATCGCACTGCATTCCGAAATCAGTAATGGCCGACTGGGGGAGGTAGCGCACATGTAGCGCGCCTGGTTAACGTACCTTGACCTTTCGCGCACGGCATGCACCGCATCCTTCGCTTGGCTTGCCGCAGTACACCATCCCGAGCGGCAAAGTTCGATGGTCTGCTTACTGAGTTCGGTTATAATAGATATAAGTCATGCTCTGGCCCTACGCAAGGAGAGCACCGCGTGGGATGGAGAGGGTGGCTGAGGCATCAGGCAGCCGCTGCTCAGAAGACACCTGTTATCCAATAATGCAAGCCATCAACTGATAATTATTAATGGCGATTTGCTGGGAGTCTCAGCAGTGCGTAAGCTTCAGTAAGCGCTAGAGGTTTGCCAGGACTTCTCAGCCGCTCAGCCCGAGTAAGCGTAGTGATGACTCGCTATTTAGCGTGTGCAAAAATTGGTAATTTTGGCCCCCAAAATTACAAAAAACTGTAACTTTGTATACCGATTTCTTGACTTTAAACATGAATTATGGGCCCAGCATTAGGATTCTAAAAAAAATTAAAAAAAAATAGAAAAGGTCCATAATAATGCTTTAAACAATATATTTTTCTTTTCAAAAGCTTAAAATGCCTCTAGATATTTTCTTTTAAAAAAATCCCAATATTGGACGCATAATTCATGTTTCTATACCCGTGCTCCCGCCCCAACATCGTCCCGTGTTGGTGCGTTGCACCGTAACGTCCATTTTGACCACAACGTCCAATTTTGAATATTTCATCAATTTTCTACCTCACCACAATGCCAAAATCGCCAGATAAAATCGAATCCCGAATCCAGGAGGCCTTAAAAAAGGCTTCATGTACAAAAAAAGCCAAATATCTCTGCGTTGGCGCGAGAATTCGACGTGCCTCGCAAACGGCTTCACGAACGCTTCAAGGGTCGGCCACCAAGAACCGCCAAAATCCCGCGCAATAAGGTATTAGATGACCAGCAAGAGAAGGCAATTATTCGCTGGATTCGACAGCTTGATTCCCTACATTCGCCGCCTACCCCAAAGATGATAGAGTGCTGTGCAAACCAGATTTTGCAGAGGAATGTGTTATCT